AAAAATCATGATTTTACACTAGATATTCTAGGTACTCAAATTGAGAATTTGCGCATTGTTGTGATTGCTTGCTCATAGTTTATGACAGTCATAAAGATTGTTTTTTTGCATATGTTGTGCACATAATTAGCAGAAAATGTCCTGGAAAGCTTGCTTAATAGTTAGTGGTGTTTGTAAAGATGATTGTTTCTCACACTTAAGGTTAGTGTTTTTAACAATGTTTTCTGTGACTCTTGTCTTGCAGGTTATAATGCACCTTATCTGTCAGTGTATAGTGAGAATGCAGTGGATGTATTTGACGTCAACACTATGGAGTGGATTCAAACGATGCCTTTGAAAAGGGTACATTTTTCATTTATCTTTAGAAATAAAAAAACACATTATAAGAAAGACAGACATCTTCCAGAGAGAGTTTTTCATATCTATGAAATAAAATATACATTGAAGCAGGTGATAAAATATAAAGTGCGGTGTGTTAATGAGCTGTGGGTCGCCTGCATTGCAGGTTCATCCTCTGAACGCTGATGGCTCTCTAAACCTGCTGGGGCTGGAGACCGTGCGGCTCATCTACTTTAAAAACAAGACAGCAGGTGAGACGCTCCCTACAGGTGCTCATCCAGGTTCTGAATATTCCCACCCCACGTATTTATGCATATACAGCAGGAAATAAATGAGAAGAATGATAAGAAGTTGTTTCAGATAAAGAGAAAACAAAGTTTTCTTAATGATTTGCATTTATTAGAAAGATAATTGATTGAAATAATTGAAATTGATGATTTCATTTTGTTGTTACAATGTAAAGAACTGGCTTAATATGCAGCATTATGTGAATAGTGTGCATCAGCTCATGCATATGTGATGTAACAAAGTTGTACATCCTAATGGACGCTTGTTGTTTAATGTGTTGTGAAATGTGTGTAATGCATTGTGTTCTGTGTAATGATGTGCAGAGGGAGATGAGCTGGTGGTGCCAGAGACATCTGATAACAGCCGCAAACAGATGGTGCGCAGTATGACGAGCAAACGCCGCTTTTCGTTCCGCGTGCCGGAGGAGGAGAAAGTTCTGCAGAGGAGGTGATGTTCAAGCCTAACAACATTAACCATCATGACTTGTAACGAAAACTTGTCAATTTCGACCATTCTAAACCCTGGGGATAAAGTTTAATCTTCTTACTAATCATAATTTTATTTAGTTAATGTTTAATGTAGTTCATGTTCTTCTTTGCATATTTACAAAGTAAGTCTACACGATATATCAAAATCAAATTGATTTGCAGGCTGTGAGTAATTTAATTAATTAATAAATCACAGGAATTTGACAATGGCATTAAGCCATATGACAAAATCAATTTTATTTCAATATATCGTGCAGCCCATCTTCATTAATTAAATAAATATATGCTTCAGTAAATATATTAAATACGTTTACTGATTTCACTGTAAAGTGCAGCATTTATGCGCATGTAGTTCATCATAGTGTTTCAGCATCTGAGAACAGCAACCCATCAAAATAAAGTTTGATGGTTTACCATAAAAATAAAAAAAAAAA